TGGCTATACCATTGTGCATATTGTAGCATAATCAGTCTATAAGAGCAGGTCAACCAAAATCATCAGTAAATATTTTTCAACTGGATTGAATGCTTAAGTACGTGTGTCTTCCGAGATCATCAAATCTAAAGATTCAACTTTTCAAAATATTCCAAGACAAACTTCAGTGATCATCAGTATGTCATACTTCAAGGCATGTTCACACACTTATTTTTCAGAGACATTCTAAACTAAGCTAACGTAGCTTTGATACATGATAGTATTGGTTTCATTGACGGTGCACTAAATGTAATGACAGCATGCGACTTTAATGTGTTTCATCTTCATCATAGTCGGGTGGGAGAGCAGCGCCCACGATTGTTGAATCTTCAAATTTGCCACACGATCCAGTGTGCACAAATTTTCGCTCCTGCTTCAACGTTGGCTGAAAGGCTATTGGGTTTTTATTAATTTGAGTCAAACCGGCTAATGGTGGACATCTCTTACAGAAAAATATTATTTAGTTGATGATGGTTATCCATTACAATAAGGTTTTCTTAAGCCATTTTTAAATACAAAATATCATGTAACAAACTTAAATGTGCAAGTTAGGTTGTACGAGGAAGAAAAGAGATGTTCAATAACCATCATTCATCATTACAGGGTGTCATTGAGAGGGTTTTGGTGTTTGGAAGAAAAAATGAGACATTCTTCGTGATATACCAATATATCCATTCGAAAAACAAGTTAAACTTATCGTCGCAACAATGACCCTCCATGAAGTTGATTTCACAAGTGTAGATGAAAATGAATCGGTACCACCTGAAGTATATGAATATCGAATGGGTCAAGCCATTACAGATTATGAAGCTATCATTAGTCCAACCATAGGGGACGGAGAAGGTGCTGAAGAGATGGTCGATTTACGTGAAGTAATCATCGATTCTTTAGTTAACGGTTGATGTCTTGCATTGTAATTCACCATCATTGTCAGAAGGAAATGTTAGATCTTTTTATTGAGTGTGCATCCATTTTTCTTTATCATTTTAGTTGGTTAAAAACAAAAGTGCATCCATTCCTTTACATTTTGAGTGCATTGGCTTTTATGCATTTATGTAACAGAGTGGTCTCGCTATTTGAAATACTTTGTTTCAACTTGGTTACCACAAAATAATCTAATCCTTCCCAAAAAATTACATTTGGTTGCTTAAAGCTGTAAATCTGTAAGGGCATTTACATTCATGCGACTCAATTATTTATTATTTACATTTGGTTGGGTACTGGCTAACTTTTATGAGAACCTTCTTCTGCAAAGTTCTCGTTTCAGGGCTGCCAATAGCATATGCATAAATATGGTTGAAAAACACTTAATTTTTCAAAAGCATTTGCCAACTGGGTGTTATGCATAAATATAGTTAATTGCCTACTTTTAGCTCTTACCATTAGTCGCTGTGCGCTTAAAATGTTGGTCTTTATCACAATATTCAAATCTATAACCTGTTTCAGTGCTGCCAGCATTTTCTAAAGCATTCTTGGGAATTTTGGAGGGATTGAAACATGTAATTTACTTTTTTACAGTTAATACAGTTGTATTCTTTATGTAATATGAATGACTTGGATGGCATCAATGTAAGAAATTAGAGTTTTTGTTTCATATATATAAATGGAAAGGATTTTGGTGGTATGTATGGAAGTGTCATTCATCATACAAATCTTGCATCTCATTTTCTTTTTATCTATTCATTTCTTCTCTCCTTATTTATATGATAATCATTAATGAACAGGATTATATAATCGAAAATGAGCTCAATCTATTCCACAAGCTCTAAGAGGATCAAACATTGACAATATTTTGTGATTGCAACCTATTATGTGTTATTTTCAGGATTCAGAAAGGTGACAATGTTGGCAAAAAATTTTACGGATGTCCAAAAAACTTAACATAGACTGCAATTTTTTTTTATGGGTGGATAATCGAGGGATGCAATAAAGGAGCGAAGTGATGAAAAGATAAATACATATGATGATACGGTGAAAAATAATCTCAACGACTTGAAATTTCTTATGAAGATCTTGCTCTTATATGATTTTATAATCCTAGCACTTCTATTATTGTTGTTAACGTTATATTTATTTTGATGATGTAGATGTATTTTAGAGGACCAGTTGTATTACTTTATGTTTTTTGGTAAGCAAACTCGTATGTTTGACTAGGATGAAACTTACGTTGAATATATTATATTGAATTTATATTTGTAAGATTATTTTGAGGGCTGAAATTTTGGTTAATGTTCACTATTAATGCATACATCCGAAATAGTTAAATCACTTCCTATCCCCTAACACCAAACACAACAGAAATGTGCAAAAGAGGCTAGCAACTAAAGTGTATTTTTTATCTAAACATAACTACTGGAGAACTTAATTTTTTTTTTAAACGTTCAAAAAATGCTAGCAATGAAAATATATTACTTCACACAAATAAATATGACTCCAGCTTTTTACTTTTGATTCTTTATTCATTAATAAAACCTTTCTTGATTAGAACCTTTTATCTACCTTAAGTTCACCTGCTATCCACCATAACTACAGTGAAAATGTATTTCTTATCAAAGAATAATCACACAAGCAAATGCAAACAGATCAAAAAATTCATGCTTCAAGTATAATTATGCTGTCCCCAACAAATCAAAGCCCAAATACATGAAGCAAATCTAAAAAATTGGTGGCCATGACAGTATACCAAAAATGCAATTTATTTTAAAAAAAATTAAACAAAAATTTAATGGATAACACTATAAGAAAATTGTTTTCGCAATAAAAACTAATGTCCAATTGTGTGAAGAAGAAACAAGAAAATCAAAAAATTGCATGACATAGAAAAACAAATTTGAAGATGAGTATGCAAAAAAGCGTCCTTATGCAAGGTATCTTCCCTATCCCACTCTCCCCTAAATATGAGGATAAAAATCAAAAACAGAAAAAAAAAATAATATTTTTGGCTAGGACACGATCAATGGGTAGTGGCGACAAGTTTAGACCAACAAGATGAAGTAAGTCAAAAGAGAGGAAGTAACCTAGAAAGAAGGGGGCCAATGATCTAAATGCAAGAACGGGGTGAAGGGGGCGAAAGATCGGAACACAAAAAAACAGGGCGAACGACAATCAGCTAGGGCAAGAACGGGCTATGCAAAAGAAATGATAGGGATAGCGAAAAAAAATCGTGTGATTGTTTATTGGCGAACTGCAGGACGCACCCCAGCGCTCGTGATCGTGAATACTAATGAACTGCACCCGCGGTCCCGAATACTATTGAACTGCGATTGTGGTTCTGAGCCAGGTCGACGAAGCTGGGGAGCCAAACACCTCTAAAACGCAGTTTTGTTGAAACGCGATTCTGAAATCTAAAACAAACACACCCTAAGTAAAAACTAGTGAGAATAAATTCATAAAAGATGATATTGATCATTACTATCATATTGCCTCAGAAAAATGGATGAGGTCATAGGACAAATTTATAATCAATGATTTCATGATATAAGAGGGGATTTCACTCAAATTTTATGCTTCTGTTATTTCGTTTGATAAATTATATATTCTAAATAATAATAATCACCACCAAAGTGGAAGAAAATTGTGATAAAGAAAGTCAATCAGTTTGGTGCAAAAAATCTTTAAAATCAAATATAAAACAAATGGGAGTCTGGATAAATTCAAAGCCTGATTTGTTGCAAAAATATGCGCCCAATTAAATTTGTATTAACCTCTACATCAAGTAGACAAATAATGTTTTACTTAATGGGTGGTACCTTGAATTAGAAATTAGAGAAACATTATTATCATATGAAGACTTAAAAAGATTCGTATGGCCTGAAAAAAATCTCTTCATGCCTAGTTTGGCATATTCTCTAGATATGTTGAAAAGTGTGGTTCCATATAAAATTGATCACTCTTTCTTTATCAAGAACACAATTAGGAGGAAAAAAGTGCTTAATATTGTATATGTGGACCATCTTATATTTTAAGGTGCCTTCGAGGAAGAGCAAATCATATTAATACAATTTTTGAAAAGCAAATTTGAGATGAAAGACTACTGATATGATAGTGGCACAAGCAAAGCAAAATATTCTTATTTCCTAAGTATATTTTTTATCAACTTTACGAAACAAGAAAGCTTGGACGTAGGCATAGAGAAACTCCAACAAATACAAGTAAAAAATTTGGGATCACCGCTAACAAAAAAAGATATCATTGCCTTGTGGGTAAACCGATATAAACTTCTCTTGCATGTCTTAATATTGAGTTGCGTGGTAATAATATAAGCTAATACATGAATAATCCTATTAAAAGCATGTGAAAGTAGTTAAACACATTCTAAGTTACCTCAAAATAATACAGAAAACAAGCTAGTGATTGTAAATATGTAGAAGAAACCTGGCTATATAGTGAAAAAACAATATGTGGTCTCAAGCTTTTAAAAAACTAAATCAAGTGAAAAATTAGGTAGTGAAAGTTAGGATTTTTGAAATAATGTTGTTTAAAAAATGTTTTAAAAAACTAAATCAAGTGATAAAAAAATTATAAAAGTGAACCATGACAAACTGACTGCCATAAGCATTGCAAAAAAACATATTCACCATGACTGGCATCACCAAATGCAATAAGAAAGGATGATACTTCATCTCAAACACAGACACACACGGGCGAACATACACATTTATTTGTGTGCATGAGTTTGTGTGAATGTGTGCATAAAATTTTCAAAAGTTTTAATAGTGGCATATTTTAGAAGAGAGTGGCTTTTCTAAAAACATTGCTATGTTTCAACTGTATGTGGTCAACAATCATTCATATTACACAAAACCAAAAACTTTATGAAGCCAGAAATATATGATTATCAGATAATAAAAGAAATAAGATGCACCGTTAATAAAAAATTTAACAGGCTAGCCATGCTTGTTATCCAGAAATAAGATTATCAGAAATGTTAAAAGTCGAAATAGAATTGGTAAATTCCATACCTAAGTAGCACAGCAGCGCCATCAAAGCCTTCATATTTTGCTTAATGTGAATTATGCAAGGAATGATAGAAACATAGTTTCATCATCCAACCCAGAGGCAATGCTGAGATTGGTCACGATGCAAAAAAGATGGGGAATATTCAGCAATTAGTTTGCATTCTATATACAGTTGTATCCATGTTGGAAATCCTAGCCCTTTGAAATCCAATCATCCATCAGGAAAGAGTCTTCAGGGCCAATGCAGTCCCTTGGATCACAATATAATGGGGTATCCCTTAGCCGGAGATTGTTTTGGACAAACTCCATATTGCAGAACATTTGCTGTTCGATACAACTCCTTCCTTTGTCATGTACCAGCTCTGAGATATCCTTCTTAAGCTTGAATCGTGAAGCACCACTACAAGGCTGGCTTAAGATTTTTATAGCAAATTTTTGCAACTCAGGACTTTGATGCCCATAAGATGCCCACCATTGCGCTGCAATTTGCGGAAAATATAACTGTAAGAGTGTCGACATAAAATAAATGGTAAAAACAATAACTCAACATGCTTACATTCAATCAAAGAAAATGGAAACCAAGTCAAAGGATATTTGACTAACATGGAAGTGAGGCACCACCATCAAAATATGGATCATGAGATTTTTATGGGTACAAATGCATGGAGGACACTGATAGAAATTAGGGCAGAAAAAATATAATTCTATTATGCCGAAAGCAAATCAACGATTACAGCTCCAAAGATATAAAGATAAATCACCTACAATTTGAGAAGTAGGTGAGCTCTTCCAAATCCTACAATTTGAAGGGTAAGAAATCTCTCCCAAACCCTAACCCTAAAACTTGGGATTCAATCTTATGCATTCCTAACTGTAAACCTATTAGAGCCTATTCATACTAAACAATAATAAATAATAAAAGACTCAATTATCTTTAGACTAATAAGAAACTAAGTTGCCCTTTAGGTACCGACAAAACAATACACTCCTCCCAAAAAGATACCCTATCCCTAAGGTGAAAAAAAAAGAAGGTACTCCTCCTCCCCCACAACTTCCTATGTTTCTTCATCCCCTGCCCGCTCATAATATACTATGAGAACTTGTAATTTTTAATTTTTGTAATGGTGTCTCGGGATAAATTTTTCATCACACTGAAAACAAAACCCATTGGCTCACTTATCCTAGATATTTGTCTTTCTTATGCGCTCAAGTGTCGTAACCAGTTGTTGCCCATGATCCTTGTCCAGTGAAGCCTTCCTCAAGATGCTCACTATTTACGCTTTTTTATGTCATCGTGATTGTAACAGTTCGGTAGGGCGCTCCACCTATGCCGCTCCTATTAACCAGTTGCATTGCATTATGATCTTCAACTAATTGCACTAATTCCACAATTTCCCCCAATTCTTGTGGTCTCGGCAAACGAAGTGTTGCTCAAATCTCTAGCTTCAACCCTTTCATAAAGTTGCTTCCAACACTTCTTCTAAAATACCTCTCAAACGACAAGATAACATCTAACATTTCTTCATATAATCCATAATGGATTCTTCCTGGACCAATCCAAAAATTGCATGTGTTAATCCCCTCCCATGGGGTTCTAAAGCGCTCCAACAATCGAATCTTGAAGTCTTCCCATGTCCAAACTGGCTGATGTTCTCTCCATTGATAACATGCTAGAGTTTATCCTTCCAAACACTGAGTCGTTGCCATCAATTTTTCTTCCCCCACCAGCCCATTAACACCAAATTATTTCTCCATAGATAAACCCCACCATAAGCACCCTCTTCTTCAAAGATCGGCATCTTCAGCTTCCTTGTGTGTGAGTCTACTCCCCAATTTCTTTAACAGAAGTTCGTTCCACCCATAAAGCCGAGGTTGGGTTCCCTTCCTCAACCCATATTGATTTTCCTCTTCCATAAGTCTGCCGCAATCCCATAATTAGCTCGCTGGTCCCCAAAAGCTCTAGAATTGTCTTAGGCCAGGAAAGTCACCGCAATAAAAGGCACTAGTGTGGGTAGATGCAGCCCTCTACCAGGGTCCCACCCACCATGGTTCCCTATTCTGTGTTGAAATCCTTCCAAGTTTTATTTTCTCATGCCCTGAAACGCGTGCTGCCCCATTCTGCATGTTGCCTCTAGTTCCAACCGTTTGGATGTCGTCCCCCCCCCCCCCCCAGGCACAGATGCTTGAGTCCGCTTCCCATTCCTTAACTCGAACTTGCATTTGAGAAACTGATGTTTCTATGATGGCACACGAATTCTTCTAATAGTTGTCGCTCACATCCATTCTAAATGCGTCACTCGATCCCGGTGCATGCGGTTAATGGTTTGTGTGGAACTCCTTAATTTTCTTTCATTCCCTCAAGGGTTGTGAACCTCCGTCCATATCCAATAAACACTCTTCTATTCCAGATCTAATTTGACTAGCCTTTTACGCTAGTTTTTCCTCGAAAGCATCCATCTTTTTGGCTGTCCTTACTCCTATACGTCTTGGAAATTCTCTTGTGCCGCAATGTCGCCTGATTCCTTGGCAATCTCAATCGTGAGGAAATCCAAATACGGTTCAACGCGTAGCTCCCGCACGCCACACAAAACTTTGGACATCACAATTCTGGAATCCCTATACGTAGGTTGGAAGCAGACAGCATGTGGAACTCTTGAAAAACATGATCCAAAATTATTGTACACAGGTCGGCCCGTAACTCCTACATGACGCACGGGATTTTGCATGCCACAACTTTGGAATCCCTGTACATCGTGATTTAGCTTCCTTGCAATCCCAGAGCTTGATCGCGATTGTATCACAGCAAGCTACAAGCTTCGATACTGTCATCGCTTCCCAGTTAGTTCTATCACGGCTGTATCGTGAGGTTTGGTCATTGTACGGAGTGATCCTGTCGAGCGACTATATCGCCCTGTTTGTTATGATTCCCAGCGAGGACGAAATGCCACTGTTTTGCTTGGTTTCTCGTGATCCCGTTGTGGCCTTCTCAGCTAGCTCTAGTCGTGAATATATCGTGAGGTTAGCGTTCTAGAATTATCAAAGCAGACAAAACGTAGAACTCTTGAAAACCATGATCCATAATTATTGCATGCTTACCCATAGCTCCTACATGTCGCACAGAACTTTGGACGCCATGACCCTGAAATCCCTGTACATTGCGATTTAGCTTCCTTGCGATCCTAGATAGCTCAATTGTGACTGTATCGCGAAAAGTTGCAAGTTGCGAAACTATTGTCCCGTGTCAGTTAATTCTATCGTGATCGTATAGTGAGGTTTGATCGTTGTACATCGTGATCTCGTCAAGCAACTATATTGCCCGGTTTGTCACTATTTCGAGCTAGGTTGAAATGTGGTTGTTATGCGTTGTTCCCTGTGATCCCGTCGTTGCCTTCTCTGTTGACTCTAGTCGCCATCGCGAGATTACTATTATGAAGGCATGCACGCCGTGATCCCGACCTTGGCTTCCCAAATACGAATCGCGACTGTTTCGCGTAGGTACTACACGAAACCTGCACGACGCAATATAAACCCTTGTATGTTACTATCCCTTCCTTTGTTCCCCGAAATCGTCAGCTCTAATACCAATTTGATAGGAATTCGAGCAGAAATAATATAATTTTATTCTGTCAAAAACAAATCAACAATCACAGCTCCAAAGATATAAAGATAAACACCTACAATTCAAGAGGAAGGCGAGCTCTCACAAATCCTACAATTCGAGAGGAAGTAAATCTCTCCCCAGCCCTAACCTTAAGACTCAATACTCAAGCATCCCTAACCTTAAACCATTAGGGCCTATTCATACTAAAAAATAATAAATAATAAAAGACTCAATTACCCTTAAGCTTAAAAAAAAGACTAAATTGCCTTTTAGGCACCCGTGTAACAGATACCCAAAAATCAAAACACTCTTTATGTTGAAAGCATGCATTTATTTATCACATTTGATCAATGCCAAATATTGATAAAAAAATAATCAGTTAATTCATCAAATTGTTCTTAAGTTGTTGACCAACTACAATTGTCCTAATCTTATATTTGAAATGGTTAACATAAATGTCTAACTATGAGAAATGAGTTGTTTCCTTCTAAATTTTGGTGTTTATGATCTTAAAATGTTCTCCAAAGAAGATAATTTCTTCATAATTTAAGCTAGTAGACTGCATAACTTTTAAAATTTTTAAGATTATTTGATAATTAGTCGGATGCATCAAAACATTCTTGATGAATTGTTCTGGTTATAAAAGATTGTTGTGACTTTCAATAATTAGAATTTTCAAATGATCTGAAGTCCTCTAAATGGGCTGTTCCTACACTTTTTAGAGTATATTTGATGGTTGAAATTAGTGAAATACATGGGCCAAACTAAACTTTTGATGTCATCCAATTATCCATTTTCTAAACATGCCTAATGAAGAAAATCTTATGAAAATGAACCTCGATAATTTTCATAGGTCGACCCAAAATAATGCAGTGGATTTTAGTTTCAAGTTAGATGGCATATGAAAACCATGATGTTCTCAAGCATTTTCAAGAAGCCCCGTTTTGAAGTCATCTTTTAAAATCAACGAATTGTAGGAAACATTAAGAATTGTAGCACTAACCAAATTTGAGAATTATGCGAAGTTTATTTCAACATGATCTCATGTTATGCTAAACACCAACCAAAAACAACACAAGGAAAACATCAAGTAGACATGCATTCATTCAGCATGGTAATTACAAAGGAAAGATGATTACTTGTATTTGGAAGAGTTAAGACAGGAAGAAATACTACTAATTCATCCACTAGAACCCTTTGAATCAACAAATACTTTCCAAAATAATACATGATGGAAAATGTTGCTGATGTTCTTTGTTTTTTTCTCCTTTTAATCAAAGCGTTTCCTTTCACTCTTTGAAGACCATCGTGGCAAGAAAAATATAATTGAAACATCAAAATATGGGAAACTTACATACACACCACACAATTCTTATATATTTACATATCTAATATCTAACCTTTCTAATTTACAATCATAACACTGGAGTGATAAACCTATGCATGCAAAGGTGTATTTAGCCTTTTAAAAGTAAGTGAGTGGTATTTTTTAGGTGATGCTAAAATTTTGAATACTTTGCCTGTAAATATTAAAGTTTGGACGTTAGATATGAAAATACATCGACTATGCGGTATGCATCTAAATGCCCTTAAAAATAATGGCATTTCACGCATGAAACATTGAATTAAATAGTAAATCAAAACAAAAGGGTATTAATTTCAGTGTTCTGCATGTAAATATTAAAGTTTGGGTGTTAGATAAGTAAATACAAAAAAATTGCGTGGTATGTTTGTAAATGCCCATTAAAATAATGGAATTCACGCATGAAATGTTGACTTAAATAGTAAATCAAAACATAAGGGTATTAATTTGTTCCTTCTACTACACAAATTCAATGCTTTCAAGGGAAAAAATAAATTAAACTCAGCATGCCAAAGCATGGTAATTTGTGTTTTCCGTACAAATCTATGAAACTGTACATTTCTAAGACAAATATATTAACCGTTAAGTAAACCTTAAATTCCATCACCAATTACCACAAATGGAACATAGAAAAGTGGGAATGACTTGACTGAATTCAACAAAATAACTGAGAAAAAAAATACATTGAAAAAATAAGACAACCGCTTCCACAGTGATAAGCTTCAGCCTAACCACTAAGCCATCATTCCCCAATGTTTTGACATAACCACATCCGAATAAATCAAGAAAAATAGTACATTTCCAAGTACATTTATATAAATCATATTGAACATAACGAGTAAACACAAAAGAAGGGGGCATTTATACATATACCACCCAATTCTTATATATATATACATATCCAATGCCTAAACTTTGATTTTTACATTTACACCAACCAAATCTTTCAATACACATAAAAAAATACCACTATTTTAATATTTCAAAAACTTTTTAAAGCATAGTTATGGTGCAATATATCTAAAAATTGAAGTTTAGGCGTTAGATATTTAAATTCATAAAAATTGTGTGGTAAGTACATGCTCCTAAAAGAAAATGAGGCTTCCAAACCTGGTGGCATTTTTGATCTTTGCTCTACTGCTATCTCATTGAGGGTTGCCCCTGACAACAATGTATAAGCTTCTAGTTGTGGAACTATCAATGCTTGACTGCTATGGCCCTCAACCATTCGGACTATGCAACCAAGTAGACCATTAGTGACCTCAGTGTCAACAAAGAAATCATTTGAGCAGAATAAATTTGGATTCAAATAGTAACCAGCAGAATGAAGAGGGCAGTGCAGATAGTTGTCCCATATTTCATCTATTATAGACCAAAGGGGCAGGTATCTTGCTTCTTCGCCTCCAAGATTACCTTTAATTCCTTCTTTAGCTCTATCCATCGCATCATATAAGAATCCCATTGGAGCAGTATCACCTCCATCAATCTTTTGCAGAACACGAATTAGAGGAATTGTGACCCTTGTAACATCGGCAGTTGAAGCCCAGAAAAAAGGATCATTAACCAGCTCACAAATTTTTTTGCCCAGCGGTCTAGAAGCCAATTCAGAGCTGCTCCATGCTTCTGATTTGAACATATAAATCAAGTTTTCTCTTTCAGACAAAATGTTTCCCAGGGTCAGAAAATCAGAAATTGATTTCAAATTTGATTGTCGAACCAGATAGCTCCCTTGAATGCACTTCCTCATCAGCTCAAACGGTAGCAAATGACTGTAAATAAACCTTGTGATGCACTTAGCATCAAACAAAACTTTCTTCACGTGATCTAGCATTCCTATCTTCTCCAAAATAAGATTTATGCAATAATCTGCACTTACTGTCCAGAATAAAGACCTGTACTTTTCCACCAACTTCTTACCAGCAGCCTCCATGTAACATGACTTCTCATGGGCAATAACCTGAACAACATTTTGAACTCCCACCTCCTCTACAACTTTACTAAATAGCACAAACAATGCATCAGCGTTGCTGATGGCATCCGATGCATCAACAGATCTTAGGAATATTGTGCCTTGTGGACTATTTACCAGAAAACGAATCAAGCTTCTGCCCTGTTGGTCAGACCAACCATCTAAAAGGATGCTGCATCCAGTTCTTTCCCAACAAGATCTGACATTTTCAACGTGTTTACACACTTCTTTTAGTTGCTCTTCAAGGATCCATCCCTTAAGCTCATCATGCCTAGGAACCCTAAACCCAAATCCACATCTAATGCTGGCATCAATCATTTTCTGAAAAGATGATAATTTGATCACATTAGGATCAATGCCCGCCTCAAAGAAGAAACAACCTATAAGCTTTGCTACATGTGAGAATGAATCGTCCTTCACTTCTTCCTTCACAATAACATCTCCATCTTCCATCTTGCTTGAAGTGCTTGAAATATGAATGCCACCAAAAGGATTTCCACTCTTATTTGACTCCATGGCATTCTTTCCCTTACCCAATGAAGCTGATTGACTTGGTCCGGCATGATCAATGACATTTTGACTCAACCTATTTCTCATTTCAGCGGTACCTTCTCCGTAACTTGATGCAGGAAAAGGGTGGGTTAGCTTTAATTGCGCACGTTTAGGGTTGCTTAAAGGAGGTGAGACATGTCTCTTTAGAGGAAGATCAGGATGGTAGATCTCCCCAACTTCCTTAAGAAGCCTCTCTTTCTTCTTCTCCAGCAACAGATCCTTCATCCGTGCCTTAACATCATCAGGGGCCCCAATACAAGCAGCTACGTCATTACCAACACCTCCCAGGTGGTGCTTCAACCGGTTGAATCCACGTACCTCTTTCCCACAATAGTTACACTGCACCCTACTCTTATCTTTGTCCATGGCCAGTCCATGGGTCTCAATTGCATCTCCTGCTTCAGTGCTCATTTCTGCCTTGAATAGAAAAAAACTTACCAGGGATTTACCAACGTTGCATGCATCTTTAACCCTAAGATGTAGCATCTATCATGGATAAACTTGCTAGCATGATAAAAACCGGCATTCAGACCGAAATGCTAAACTCGTCATCACCTCCACTATTATAAAAGCCGTTTGGACGAAGGAATAGCAAGATAAATCATGAAAGAGCGACAAAGCTGAGGCAGAACTAAGTGGCTTTATCGTATGAAGCTTATCTACAACATTTGTGTCCCAGCTAAAGCGGCCTCAGAAGAAACCCTAGATGCTCAACTTTCGAGAGTAAAAATCACTCAGAACAATACAAAATACTCTATATATATATATATAGAACCACTAGGGATTCATTAAACTGTGCAACCCCAAGCAGGCAGTACCCCAAGGTTTTGATTCATCAAATCGCACCATTGCACACACATGAATTGAAGCGAGATACAGAAGCAGAAAAAATAAGAAGTATTTTGCGTTTTCAAGGAAAGAATCAATGTAGACCAGCCAACACTGAAAAGGCGACTTCCCTGTAGCTCCGCCTCCGCAATCTTCCGACCTCCGCGGTCTCCTATCAGCAAACTTCTGAAACGCACTCGGAAGAGGCGACCTCCGAGGGACCGCCCCTATTTTGACTTGTTATTTCAATTGACATCGACCTCCGTCAAGCCTGACTTTTGTGATATGCAAATTTTTAAGAGGATTAATGTCATCAATTTTTCTCTTCAGAAATTTTTATTTTTATATTAATATCAATTAAATTTTTTTATATCACATAAAAATTATTTTTTTTTTTTTTTTTGAAAATGAAATGCATAGATGAGATAGATGAGATGACAAATATATAAAAAATAAAATTTAATTGTTAGATATGTGATTAAATAGAAATTAATAAGTGGTACTTATGTAATTTTATTTTTTTTATTTTACTAAACTCTTTTATATTTACATATTTTATTTGCATACATTTGATATTAAATTCGCTTAAACATATAAAAAGGTTTGTACATATAAAATTAATTTTAAATTCTTGATATAATTTTATTTTTTTAATATTTTAAATGAACAATGTGATTCCAGAGAAAATATTAAATATTTTATTAGTTGGTTTTTTAAATAATAATAATATTTAAAAAATAAATTAAAATTTTAAATATACTCATTTTTTAAAAACTAATAATTTAGAGATACGTTCAAGTTAAATCTAACTAAAATTATCTTGACGTAATTTTTTTGTTTTAATTAAGGGAAATGAAGATGAGTTTCAGCATGAAAAATTAATTTTCTTTTAAAGTCGATGATGGCCCACGGACCAACCCAACCTATTATATGTGTGACTATTAAATTATAAATAGAAACTGGTCTCAAGCCCAACCCGAGCTCTCTATAACTAGTAAGCCCGAATTAGCTCAGCCCACGCACTCAATTGTCATTCTGACATCATTTTTTTTAAGAGGTTGTTTGGTTCCAATGAGGATTTAAGTTAAATAGGATTTGGTAAATCTGATAAATCTAGATTTATTAAATTTAAATATCATTAAATTCAAAATAATGTGTGTTTCAGTTAATGCTCCGTTTGGAGCCGTTTTTTTTCACGCGGCGCGGCCCCAAAGCACGATAAATTACTGCTTAGCTCCCATCTTCGTTGTCGAACGACGCCGAAGCAGACGAGAAGCGGGTCGCGGTATCGACCCTGCGGCCCCAACTTTCGCCTCCATAATATTTAAAATTGCCCTCGCGAAAGAAGCGCCCTAGCGTTCCGTCTCAAGGCTTCTTCTTTCGTCGTCCAGGAATCGACCCAGCCCTAGCGATCCTTCCAGCATCGTGTCGCGCCTTCTTTGAAACCGTCTTCTCACCTTCTTCTTCGTCGCAATCGAGCTGTCTCACCATCTCTACAGAAAACCCGCTTCTACTTCGTCGACCCTGTTTATTCTGCTTCGTCGACCCCGTGCCCCACAAGCTCCGTGAGTGGCTTCTCCGCATAACAATTTTTTTTTTTTCACTTTAATTGGAGAAACCAGAATTTTGAGGTATTGTTATGCGATCCCTCTTTGCACTTTTGATACGATTTTGAAACTCCTACACGTCTAAGAACTACTTAGATATCTCATTTTATTGAGGTTTTAATGAATTATCTTGAGCTATTGTTATACGATCCCTCTTTGCACTTTTAAAAATTTTTATTATGTTATGATGTATTGCATCTTACATTTTATAATGATTTGTTGTTTGCGTAATATGCTTGGGTACTTTGTGTGATACAGTAATTGACCATATTTTCTTCTGTAAAGTGGCTAAATGTGTGAAATTTTTTTGGCTTCAGATCTCGTTTTTGTTTTGTATAATTAACTGATAATATTTGGAAATCACTATTAGTGTTTTATTCACATTTTACTTTAAATAATGACATAATATGAGATTCTGATGACCAACAAAATGGCTCCAAATTTTTCTTGAATGTATGATCTAACTGGATTTTGTCCTCTCTGTGCCCAAAGTTTGAAACCAGAAAGATTTTTTTTCTCTGTTATTTATATACCATCGAATTCTTTTTCTATGTTATTTACATTGAATTATATATATATTATAAAGTGTTATATCAATAAACATTAAGTTTTTAAGAAATATATATATATATTTCTAAAAAACTTAATGTTTATTGATATAACGCTTTATAATAGCTTAGATTTTGTTTGTTTTATTTATTGTATTCATTGTTGTTTGCTAATGTCTGTTTATGAGTCAATTACAATAGTGGCATCTAATTGATTTTATTGTTGTGTATCAAGACTTTGTTTTGTTATAGTAATACCATGGATAGTCAACCCAAAGAGATTGCTACACCCGCATTGTGGGAAAAAGATATCAAAATAATATTTTACGGTCTTTGACTTAAAGAGATTGAAAGGGAAATAGGCCTACGACCCATTTTAATAAAGAAAGGTAGCAGCATATTATCAAAAATTTCAAAGAATGTACAGACAGGGAATACGATAGGTTGCAAATGAAGAACAAGTGGGACCAAATGAAGAAAGAATGAAAAATTTGTAATGAATTGAAAAGGGGTTCTACCGGTCTTGGTTGAGATCCAGTGAAGCGAACAGTTGATGCACCTGAGGAATGGTGGGCTGAAAGACTTGTGGTGAGCTTTGTTTGTAAACTTCTTTATTTTGTAACTTTATATTTTATTCTAATTGAGTGTTTATCAATTCTGTGTAGGTGGTGCCCGCTGCAAAGAAGTTTAAGCTTTCTGGAATTGAGCCTGAATTGGAGGAGAAACTCGACCGCATGTTTGGGGGAGTGGTTGCAACGGTCAACTATGCATGTAGCCCAAGCGAGACAGGGTTCCCTGGCAATGTCGTGAATTTGGGAACCCCTGGAAGTTCATTTGATTTCATTGAGTCCCCAACCCAGATCATAACAAATATGAAACTATTTCTCGCTCCAAATGTCTGAGGGTTTTTTATAAAAGAAAATATTCTTCCCTAAAAAACAAGCTATATGAGGTGGTTTCTTGTTTTAAAGCAGAATGTCAGGCTTCTCATTCAAGCACTATCGCGGAGGCACTTGAAATCCTAAGTGCTACAACCGAAATTTATGCAGATGAGCAGATGAAGAGTGATGAAGAGTTGTATCTGTTCGTAGCATAATTATTAGAGGACCTGGTTCGTAGGAATTTTTTTGTACAGATGTCTGCCGCCCGAAGAGTGGCATATATTCGGCGTTTTTATGATCGTTTGAACAATTGAGATGTTTTATATTTTTTTATCACTAGAATATTTACATTGCATTATCTACTTTTTTCTTTCTAGAATTGTACTTGTGAACTCTATTGTACCTTCGTAATTATTTGCAAACATTTACACTGCGATGGAGCGATTTCAACACTCATCAGAAACAAAAAGCAGGTACTTCTTAATCTGATTGAGCGCACTTGTTAGTATGTCCTCTCATGTCATCAGACCCTCAGATTATAAGTTTTAGCAGATACCCGCTGAGATATCACATTATGCGCGATATATGTCTTTTTTCAAGGTATTCTTTCGGATGCATTATAGTTAATTTTGTAAGGGTATGCAATGATATGTCAAACCTAACATTTACTCATCAGAACTGTATTGGCGGAATTTATGAAACACATATTCACTCACATATCCCAAATAGTGATAAGGTGACTTTTAGCGGCCGTTGTGGTAGCCCTACCCAAAATGCCATGATCCTCTGCGACTTTAACATGTGCTTCACTTTTGTTATGGCTGGTTGGGAGGGCAGCGCACATAACAGTCGAGTTTTTAAATTTGTGACACGGGATCCCAATAACAACTTTCCACATCCACCTACATGTATGTCCGGGATTGAACTCATTGAATGAAGAGTTTGAATCTCCATACTAATTGTTCAATTTATTAGACAAATATTACTTAGTCGGATGTTGGTTACCAATTGCAACGAGGATATTTAAAGGTATTTTCTGATACGAGGTATCACATACCAGACTTTTCACGTGCAAACAACGTTACATGAGGCAGAACGGAAATGTTTAATAACCGACATTCATCGCTACGTGGTGTAATTGAGAGGACTTTTGGTGTCTGGAAAAAGAAATGAGTGATACTCAGTGATACTCCGTGATCGTGATATGACTCCCTACAATTTCTCCAAGAAGGTACAGATTGTCTTTGCTACAATGGCTCTCCATAATTACATAAGAAGACACCATTCCCGTAGCGATATCGACTTCCATTTGAATACCGCTAGGTCAGTCTTTCACAGAAGAAGAGACTGAGGCTTCCACCGCCTTCACTGTAGATGGGGAAGGTGCAAGCGAGATGGCAGAGCTGAGGGAATAAATAACTGATGAGATAGTAGGCCTATGAGTGAAGAATTTGAGAATTTATTAGATGAATATTATTCAAAATATTGCTAATCTGATTTTTTTTTTTAACGTCATATTTATCTATTCTGTTGTTTTCTTTTGTTTAGTTTGATACCTGAGAAGAGAAATACAAATTTTATTTTATGGCTTCAAACCGTCTTATGAAATGATACGTTTAATTCATTGAAGTTTCATATAATGGTATGCAAAAGTTGCTCTTCTTTTCTGACCAGGAAGAAATTATCCTCGTCCTCGTATTGATTGATATTGGATGACATTTATATTTTCATTATCTTCAACTTATCAAGCTTTGTCACTTTTCTGGATGGCAATTATTTTCATTTATAATTTTAATTAGTTAGGAAGAAAAATTTTAAGGTTCTTGGATATATTTTGAGTAGCCATCCTGGTTGAAGGCTTTATATAACATAGCTATATTTTAATTGCTGCTTCAAGACCTTGCACGATGTATAATCATATATTGGAGTGCATTGGAGATGCACAAGTTCTATTGTCTTTTCTTGTAATTGGAGTGTTGCTTGACTCATTCCTAGTTGATGATGCTGATTATCAGGAATTGAGTTATATTTTTGCCATTCTCTATATTAAACATGCTGGAAACATATTTTCTGCTTATTGATGTTTGGTGTTATCAATCTAGCCTGAGAGCTATGTATGTATATGTTAGAATTTTGTGCTATGTTTGTATATTTTTTTTTCATGTATGAAGTAATCATGTAGATTTCAAATGGTATCAAGCAAATCATTGTTCTACTCTCGAAGCTGACAAATTGAGAGGATTCACATACATACCTTTTCAAATCCTTTAGTGTTTACATATCTACCACCCTGAGCTTTAATTTCTTTACATATGCATCCTTACACTCATGCATGAGAAGCTTTACATACAATTCAAATGGGCAATTCATTTTTCTTGGGGTGTTTGCTGAATTCAGTTCGATAGGGAAATTTTCAAATGTTGGATAGGGAAGTCATTGAAGAAATTCGATCAGGAGTTTTCTATTGTCTTGAATGATATATGACATGAAATGAGTCTATGCTGAATCCAATTGCTTGCTTAGGTTTCATCATGATGGTTTCAATTTTAAAAAAAAAATTGATGAAGTGATTAATAGAAAGTTCCTCCACTTTTGCGGTAGGCTTGTTCTGTGCAGAAACTTTATCAGTTTTTGCTATACAAATTTTTTTATTACTATATAAAACATAGAGATAATTCATGGCAGCTATATGCAAACAATGGTTAGCATAACCTAGGATATTCAGAGGGAGGGGTATTTGCAAACATACCACCCAATTCTTATTTATTTACATACCTAACACCTAATTCCCAATTTTTACATACATGCCACCTTACCCTATGCATAAAATGGTGTATTTTATTTCTTTTTTGGTGATATTTCTTTGGTGAGATGAAAGATTCTAAGCAATAGACATTGTTATTGTTTTTTCCTAAAATCTGGGTCATACGCCATGATAATTTTATCCATTCAGATTTTATAACACACATTCGTCCAGCAATTTATTGATCATTTTGAATCTTGAAAGCAGTTGCTTGCTTAGGTTTCATCATGATAGTTTCAATTTAAAAAAAAATTGAAATGACCTTTAGCTTTATTTATAAAAATGCAAAGTTTCAATCCCTTCGTTTTGGCAAATATCTGAAATATATGCGTTTTGGTTTGAGAAATTTGGAAATAATTGCAGCTTGTGAAAGTTTGGAAAACTTAAAAGCCTCATTTTGAAAAATCTGAAATGTCTATTGCTTTGGTTTGTGGAAATCTGAAGTTTTAATGCTCTCGTTTCTTTTTAAAGAATCTGAAAGCTCTATGTTTTCGTTTATATGAAGTTTTAATGTTCCCAATTTATGAAAAATCTGAAAGTCTTAGTATGTTAGTTTGTGAAACCTAGAATTTGTATATAATTGTTTGTGAAAATTCGAAAGTTTTGGTGTATTAGTTTGCGAAAACTTGAAAGTTTGCATGGGATCGTTTGTGAAAGCTTGAAAGTTTCAATAAATTTGTTGTTGCAAATCCGAAAGGCACAGATTCTTATTCCACTGTTGTTCGCCTAGCCCAACTGCTATTAGATGGTTTGTTCTTTCTATTTCTCTTTTATATAAGTTTCAATTTATATTAGTTTTTGCTTGCTTACATTAGAGTACCTTTGTAACATGTCAAAAGCAGAGCGGCTTGATTGTAAATTCCATTGGAATGTAAAGGTTTTCTTGCTTACATTGGAGTACCTTTGTAACATGCCAAAAGCAGAGCGTCTTGATCGTAAATTCCATTGGAATGTAAGGGTCTATGTGTTTCCATCATTGGAGGTGCTAAATATTAAGGGATTACAAGTATTGGAGGATTGGTTTGAAGGAGCAGGTGCAGTAGCAAATGACTGTTTCTTTCCTTGCTTAATTGAACTCTTCCTTGATAACTTGCCAAATCCGCAGGAGTTGCCATATTTGCCTCCTAAGCTCAAGAAAATGAAGATACAAAACATCGGGTAGAATGCTGCTTTGAACTGCAAGCAAGAAAAGCTGAAAAGTTATAATAATGATGTGCTAGGTTATTTTACAAGAAGGGATGAGCTAAAATTTGCAAGAAAAGCTGCAAGCAAGACTGTTTCTTTCCTTATTCTCTGTGAAGTTGTTATAGATGACCCATCGTTGTACCCAAAGTTAAATATCGCATCCTTGGAAAAGCTGAAAATTTGTAATAACCATTTTACGTTTTTATAAAGATTTATTCACCCAATATTTTTTCCATTATGATTTCCATGTAATTTTCTTTGGATTGTGGCTTGATAAAGAAAACCTTCATGGTAGTTTTGATATGAAGTTGAAAATTTGAATGGTATGCATGTACAAATGAATTAATGCTTACATGCTAGATATGTAAATACATTAGAATTGTCTGGCATGTTATAAATGCTCCAAATAATTGTATTCATCTGAATATATGCAGCTCCGAGATAACGATCTTTTTTTTAGACTTGAGTTATTTAAATTGGTTTCTAATTATATTATTAATAGTTATTTTAATAATTTTAGAATTTTTTGTGCACTCTTGATACTCATTGTGAAGTGAGGCGTGTATCTGTAATTTTGTACTGTTTTTATGTGAAAATTTGCCTTTAAACTATTAAATTTATGACTATCACAGTTCAGTTAAGCACAACATTACAAAACAGGGACAGAATGATCATTTTTTCAGTAACAGCTGCCCCACAGTTGTTTTCACATAGCTGCCCCAAACAGTCAGCCAACTTCCCCGCAGTAGCTTCCCCTCCTGGGACAGCGCAGCTGCAGCTGAGAAGCTGAAAAACTGCAGCTGCGACAAACAAAGCCTAAAGTTAAATCCATTTAAAGTGTTCAACATAAATTCATTTCAAATATTTTTTCTTGCATTAAATCCGTCAAATTTAACTAATAATTGGATTTAATAAATCCAGATTTAATAAACGAGATAAGCGAAAATTGGATTTAATTTAACGACAAATTTATCTAATCTATTTATGGTGTTTGACTTGAAATCTAACATAAATCTTGTTAAAAGTATTCGCCAAACACCCCCTAATAAAAATTAGAGAGTCCCAAAATAATTACATATGACATTAATGAAAAATAATTCTGACTCCAAAAAAAGTAAATAAACGTAATATTTATTTTATTTTGTTTTGTTTTTTAAAAATGAGCCCATCTAAACTATCATATATATATATATAATGATGCCAACCTCTCCATCCTCCATCAGCTTAGTTTAATTTGATTGTCTTGTGGAAATAAGATCCAAACACTAAAATTACTTAGTGGAACTAACTCGCCGATAAAGTTAATGACCATATATATATATATATATATATATTAAAAGGAAATTGATATTTGGTAGAGACCCAAATATTGATTTTTCATGCGCTTTTTGACCCCATGATGAAAGCCCGCGTCATGTGCCTAAAATTCCAAAGCCCCCACGTCACAGTGGGATTGAAACCTTGACCTGGAAAAATTATTGCATCAGGTGTCCAATATCAGAATATCACGTGGCAACTCGGGTCCGAACCGTGTATGTCAGTGGACCCAAATTATCATGCGACTCCCTGTTATTAGACACGTCCTGCAAATTTGCATCAGATGTCCTGATGCAATAATTTCTCCTTAAAAATGTGTATTGCACTTTTAAAATATGATAATAGTGTTAATTTCGATGTGATATTAAAAATTTGAGTAGTAAGTATGTAGACATGAAAGTTTTTGGTATAAAATATGTAAATATATAAGAATTGTGTGCCATGCAGGTAAACGCCCCAAATTAAAAAACGAAACATAAGAGCAATAAAAGAATATATTACCATAAAAAACATAAAACTCAAATATATTCAATTATTTTTGGTAAGCTTGTATGAGATGAGGAAATTCACTTGCTTACATGTTTTCTTTGCTTTTTATTACTCTTGATTAGGGTGTTAACGAGCCAAGTCGAGCTCGAGTCATGTCGAGCTCAAACTTGGCTCATTTTTCAAAATACAAACTCAAGCTCAAGTCGAGCTCGAGCTCAGTTTGTTGCACTAACTGTAAGGTCATTAGCCTGCTTTGCAAGCTAAGTCATTTAACTGTAAGGTCATTAGCCTGCTTTGCAAGCTAACTGTAAGGTCATTAACTGAATTTTTCATGGAGCTCAACGGACAAGTCATTTAAATGATTGATGAGTGGAGAGGAGTTCTACGGCAGCTTTGTAAAGAAGAAATTAACATGATTGAAATTGAGCCAACAAGAACGAGCTCCTTTAATGAACAAGCTTGAGTCTGAGCTTGAGCTCATATTCGTGGATTGATAAGTTTTACTCGTGAGTTCATTAATGAGTTGGGCCTAAGCCATCTCGGCTCACTTATATCCCCACACTTGATGTACAATTTTAAATCAATATCTCTTATAATAGAAGCAGATCATTTATACAATTCAATTAACTAGAATATTATTCATTGAATCGTATGTGGGATTACATGGCCTAAGAAATTGATGATTTATTTGATTTATGTTTCTTATAATTATAATTCAAATATTATAAAAAATAATGAAGTCATTCTGCAAAAAAGTTGACTATATTATTAAAAGTGTTGGTGCAGCCAACACATGTTGGGGATACGAATAAATTAATGGAAACATGCTAAAAAAATCTGAAAGAAAATATTGAACAAAAATGAACATTGATATGACACCAATAAATTTTCATCATATGATACGAATCTCGAGATAATATTTGAGCAATAAATATTCAAATTTTGATAAAAAGTCTTCCAGAGCTCCGATTTCAGCAAACTTATAGTCAAACTGATCGGCTCGCTGACAGCGACCCCTGAAACCGACCCAATGATATAAAAACGAAGCCAATTCGAGTCAGCTCAAGCCGGAATCAAATCATTAAACAACTCTTAGAGAAATTTTGGAGGCATTTCAAAGGTCAAACATATGTCGAATATAGCGAGTTTATAGTCGAATCGAGTGTCTCGACAAGACGAATCCAACGAGCCCAAGATTGTTTATTTCTAACATTGTTAAGGCCCTCAAATGTCTATCAAACGCCATCCAATCGAGGGAAGCTCTCCGGACCGTCCGATCAAAATGACCCATATTCATGCATTAATTGAACTCAAAATACTATAAATAGAGCCACACCCAGGCTTGAGAGAGAGCCTGAGGCTTTGAGAAGGAGTTCAAGTGCACGCCGACTTCCGTCGACCATCGCCGGCCACCGTCGACCACCGTCGATCACTGCTGACCTCCGTCGACCACCGTCATCCACCGTCAACCACCGCCGGCCACCGTCAACCATCGCCGATCACCACTGACCTCTGTCGACCACCGACTGTTTGCAACCACCACCGACCTCCGTCGATCACCGCCAACTAGACGTCGTTAGTCGACGTTGTATCTTGGAAAATCTAGTAACCCTTTCCCGTCTGTGGGATAAGAGACATCTGTAATCGTCGACTTATAATGGATTTTTATAACCGAACCAGACCCCGTGGTTTTTCCCTTTACCGGTTTTCTACGTAAAAACTTCTGGTGTCATCACAGGTTGATTCATTTTTATCTGAGAGTGTGTTGAATCCTCGCGCAAAGCTAAGACGATAATCCATTACTCGAATTTTCTAGCACACATCAGTTTGGTGCTGTATGTGGGAAAGTTTCAATCCCACAACTAATATACTTACACGGTTTACTACATGACCACCAGACACAATGTTCGCGACAACGGAGCATTCCGCTCCAACACCCATCATTCCATGGAGCAGTCACGAAGCCAAGAGCGACAAACTTCTTCATTTTCCCACCCCGAAAGACGTTATTCTGCCAACGAAGGTGTTTCGGGTCCTTCAATAGAAGATTAAATGCGTAGAATGAAGGAGTCTCAACTAGAGATCCTACAGCTCCTACGCGAGGCTCAACATCCACTGCACTCAACAACCGCTGCCTACACCATTGGATGACATTTGTTTACCATTAACTTAGCGATGTATGAGAAACATACCGCTCGGAGGAAATCGTATCGGCCCGCCTCCTCAAGAAGGAACACATCCCCTGTCAAGTCGTGATGTTGAACTCCTAGATACCGTAAGTTCCACTCATCCATCTTCTGCATCTCACCCGACATCGTCATATCTTCTTGCCATTCCAGATAATGTCATTCGTAACAAACTACGACGCCTCGTCCGGGATGAGTTCTCCCAGAGAAAAAGGATCGCTTCTACGCTCACCATAACATCCATGAATATTCTCCCTTAGCGGAAGCGGTCCTCCAACACCCCATCCCAACTGACTTCAAACATCCGAACATCGATATATATGAAGGGATAACCAATCATTGCGAGCATATTGATCATTATCGAACCATCATGCACATTCAGCGTGCCTCTGATGTGCTTATGTGTCAAGTGTTCACGACTACTCTTAAAGGACAAGCTCGAACTTGGTTCTATTCTCTGCCAAGGGGCACTATAAACATCTTTAATGAACTTGTCAAACTTTTCATGGAGCAGTTCATAGCAAATCGAAGGATCATCAAGGATTCATCCCATCTCTCGGGAATTCGTCAAAGTGAAGGAGTGTCAGTCAAGGACTACTTCCGTAGGTTTTCTGCGAAAGCATGTTAGATTATGAGGGTGGATCCGAAGTTACTAAGGGGAGTCTTCCTTGGGGGGCTTCGTTCAGGACCTTTTTACTCATCACTAATGCGGGAGACAGTTCGTTCTTATACTGGTCTTGTCCACCGTGTTGAGGCCCAAATCACTGAGGATAAGGCCATCAACGCAATAATGAGCAGTTTGAGAAATTTGGGGGAAAGTGCAAGAATAACACTGGAGATAATAATCAATATTTGCAACGGAGAAAGTCCGAACAACAGAGGAATCGTGACCTCCTTCCCCAACCTGCAGGCCAACAAACTAAATATCGACCCAAGAAAGAGTATACACCACCCAACATGTCACATACTAACATCTTGATGGCTATCAAAGATGAGCAAACTGTTTAATGGCCTCACCCCCTAAAACCTAACTCGGGAAATCTGGAACAATGTTGTCATTTTTATCGAAGTCGTAGCCACACCACTGAGACATGTAAGCTCCTTAGGGAAGAAATTGAAAGGTTAATTCAGCAAGGATATCTTGATCGATACATACAAAACAAACTAGTCGGTAGTGATAATGCTCCTACTGGGGGGCAACAAACACAAAGGAAACAACATGGGGG